TATTGGCAAGCCGATAAGTTAATCAACCTCTAATAAGAAATAAGCAGATATAAAGACCTTTTTCCGAGTCATATTTGGATTTATCCAAAAAGAAAATCGATGTAAGTGCCTGTTTCAAACAGAAAAAAAGCCTGCATGGCTTGGATGCAATCAAAATTAACAACTTTGACCTTTGGTCTGTCAGGATTACTGTGTATCCCACCCCAGCTTGAAGAGATTAAATCTGAGATGTACAATTGCAAAAAAAGGTCATGACGTTGCAATTGCAGGGAATTTTCTTATTGACCTTTAGCCAGACTTGAGCTCTGATTGAAAAGGCTACAAGTGTGTCAGTCTCCAGTATTTCTTAAGTAAGGCACTCCTGAATTAAAGAGCTAGGCTTCCTTGTGCTATACTGTAAAATGCCAAAGATAAAGCAAATGAAAAACGAAACAAAATGATCATTAGGTCTTTGGTCATTAATGGACGTTGCTAAAAGCAGGGGGATTAGAGAAATGGAGCATAGAACGGGGTCGAAGGGGCAATTTAATTGCTGTACCCACAAGTGGGTGAGTTTTATCTTGCTGAAAGACCATGATACATTCGACGTGCTCAGATGCAAGCAGAAAAAAAACCTGAGGGCAGGGTGGAAGTGCTTTCAGCAGCAGTAAGGGTGCTATAATGACATCGGTTTCCCACCAGGAAAAGCCAGGAAGAACATTACGTTTTCAGCAGAAGGCCGAAAAATCCTGTACTAAGTGATACATAATGAAACCCCTATAGTGGTGTTTTGGATTCACACATGGTTCAGTAGCTGACCTTCTGCACAAATTTGAAATGGGATTTTTTGGAATTACCTTTCTTACAAAGGAGGTTAATTTTAGGATCCAGCAGTTGACCCTTGAAATCATATTTTACTTTGAGGAATGTTTGCATTTAATATGTGTTGCATACATTTAATAGGTGTTGAATGTATTCAATGTTTGTTGCTTGCATATTTAAATGTTTTATGCTTAATGTTTTTTTCATGTTTTACACTCAGTGCTTGCACATGTTAATATTCATACATTCACTGTTTCATTTTTAATTGTTTTAATGTTTAATTTTAACTTCTTACATTTCTGCTATCAACTACTAATTTGGTTGACACATTCATCCAAAGTAACTTGCATTTGTACCCATTTGTATTTTACTGTAACAATTTGGGTTATGTACCTTTTAAGGGATAAACAGCACTCTCACCTGGAATTTGAACCCACAACCTTTCAGCTACAAGCCAAACGCTAACCACTGCTCCACTCGACTGATCATATTTGTAATTGAACTGCTCCACTCTGCTGCACCTATTTCTAGTGCTAACAAGTTCTGTCATGCAGTATTTCTCTAAAAAAAGGAAAGCAATGTTTAAAAAAAGCTGTGAATAATTCACAAAATAAAGCCCTCGGATCCAGCCTTTAGCAATTCTGTTTGAGAGGAATGGTCGTTGGTTGTTTCCTCTTTTAAAAAATCCCAGTATGCAAAAAAATGTAGATAAATTGTAAATCAAATACAGATAAAAGATGTCCCTTGAGTAAAGTTATTCGGATTTCAAAATCTAAAAACTAGAGACATTTTTATTAAAAATCATTCAATGATAAGTACTGTAAGTCACTGGTAGTAGCATTCACCTCTGGAGTACCTGCAGACAAAATACAGTAGATTAATATTTTTTCTTTTTTCTCTGCTGCAAAGGAATGCTGTAGTAGGTGTTTAAATTTACTTAGATTTAATGTTATAGTTTATATTTATATATCTGCATACAGTGCATAAAATATAAATATTTAATTTGATTTCAATTTTTTAAAAATCACAAGCTGCAGGCAATGGGATTCCATAATATGTTTTCTCTTGTAATTGAAAGTCTGGATTTGTTGGTCACATTAGTGGAAGCTGCCAGGCAGGCGAAAGTCACTGTCTTGACAGCTCCTACAGCTGCTCACTGCTGTGAGCATTGTGTTTCCGTTTGACCATCGAGACACTGGGAGAACAACATTCAGGCTCAAGCTGTGAATTGCAATTGCTATGTGAATTCCTGGTTCTTTCATTTTAAATGTCATCTGTAATTCAAAAACAATCTTAGCATTTTACAGCTAATTTTCCAGTTATGAATAATTGGGTTCTCAGTCATAGGTAGTCTGCAGGTTGCCACCTGAATTTAAACACACATGGCATGAGATCATATGAAAGAATAATAACAGCTAGCTTCTTAAGTTGCGTGTAACACATTCATTCAAGGTTTCAATTCCAGGATTCTTGGATGTGAATTTTAAGATCTTTCTGGTTCATTGAGGAGAACAGCTGTAGATAGCGATTTAGTATTTTAAGGATCTGCAAATGGATAACGAAGCAAAACACAATTAAAATAGGTCAGATTGTCTTTGACCTTTTTTACGTAGGTAATGTACCATAACATGACAGGTGATTTCGGTCTAGATTATCTCCGGGCAGTGACTACAAACTGGACATTGCAATTAATCACCTTTTTAATGGATTTTTGTCCAATGTGTATGCCTGGCTGAAAATTAGTAGATCAAAAAAAAACTTTGCTCAACAAATTATAGCTTTGTTGCAGGAGATATCTGAGCATTGGTTTGGAGACAACGACAAGGAATACAAAGACATTTATAATAAAAAGAAATCCAGTTACATTGCATTTTGAGAAAGACCTGACAGAAGAGTGACAGTTACAAGATTGCCAGTGAAAATGAAAGCAAAGATGAGACAATCTGGCTGCAAACCCAACCACAGGTGCTTACTCAAGCTTGAGTTATATTAACAAATCATATTAGCAGTCAAAACAGAGCTGCCCAGTGGTTTAAAGTCCTCCTGCTGCATAAGTTCAGGTGGTATATCCTTAGAAGCCAGGAAACTACAATGGATCTGGAGAAATCCAGTCTCAAGTACATCATTAGTCTCAGTGGGCTGTTGCTGAACTTGATAAAACTTGTTTAAGGAGGCCAGCATTTTGCCAACCCTCTGTGCTGCAGTGATCGATTGCCAACTTGCCTCTCTTCCTCAGTTGTGTTAATGCAGCGCATTAATCTGCTGTAACTAAAACTCAGTTCTTGGTGCCGCTTCGGAACAAAGATCCGAGGTCAAATGACTTCGAAGGCAAAGGGGGATTTTTCATCTTAATTTAGTTACAGTGTGCTGTAGGAGGCTACAGTGCCGCAGCAGAACAATGGCTCATCCTCTGCTCTAGTCATCTTGTTTATTAAAAGGTTGAGACAAGAGTGGATGCTTCTAATCAAATAAACATCAGAAGAAATCGTTATATGGTCTGTTGCTTCCGCAATACATTTCGATCACACTCTGGCCTTTAAATGAGATAATCCTTCAGAATATTGAAAAATATTATTTTAAGCAGAATCATGTCTTTAGACATGTTTTGCCACAGATTGTAGTTTCTGTTAAAGGTCAAGAGGTACAGAATGAGGGTTGCTAAGTTGTGAAAGTACACACAATGACAGGTTAAAATGTGTACTTCACTCCATATACATTCAATGGTATTCAGAATTGTTACACTGAAATACAGTTGGGAAATGTAGAATAAAGCTGATTGATATAATAATGTTTTATCCTTAAAGCAAAATCTAATACAGGATGTATTGTTGAAAGTTGACTCGCAAGAACGTTTTCATCCAAATATGTCCCTCTTATTAGCAGTCAATACAAATGCTCTATGCAATTTGTCACACACCTTTGGCAGGTGGTTTTGTTTGTTTCCATTGAATTGTAATCATCTCTTAAATATACTGTACCATTGCATCTCTGGTAACTATAAGATAATATTGAGTCTGCCCCCCAAACTGTGTTCTCCATCACTTCCAGAATAGTGTTACAAAGAACCCATACTGTAACATTCTTGACTTGTGCATGAATTTAATATATTATCACACTAAAAAATAATCCGATTTGCCTGTATTAATGCTAATGAATTTAGTGTTACTCAGCATGAAGTCTGAGAAGTCCTGTGTATAATTAGTGAGCAGTTTTACATATTAAGGACATAAGAAGTTCTGAAGGAGTATTAATTTCACCCATCAGATCTTAATTGAAAATTTCTATTAAGGCACTGGGTGAAGATTTAAAAAGCTCTGATGCTATATTGTTGTAGCATTAATTGAAATTATTCTGCCTACCTTGAGAAAATACTTTATCTAAAACTGAATTCATTCTTATTTTAATTCACTTTTTTAATCCAATACACCACAAAGTGCGACATTTAATGGAAATGGTGCTGCTGTGTACATGGGTTATTTATCTGCTAATAAGGTCCCAGTGGATAAACTGAGCCTATACGAACATAAAATTTGTAGGTTTATTACCGAGATCGATGATTGTATACAGCTCTCTGAACTGTATTGTGAAATTGAATTTCTTTCAATGGAAAATTGACGTGACCACCATGCTAATCTATGCAAGTTTAAATGATGTGTTACCTTTGTATTTAAGAAGACTACTAAACAGTGATGCCACAGAAAATTTATAACCTGTGAGCTAGTAACAAAAAAGACTGTGTAAGTTTCTTTACTAATGGGAGAAACGATTTACAGCATTTGGCTCTCTCAGCCTTCACTTATATGTACCTACACTCTTCCCATCCAGACATATTTTTTTCTCCTGGACAAGAAAGCTCTCTGTTTTTTATTATTCCTGTATTAATTGCACCACAATTTAATCTCTCTCTATAAGTACCTCCGGAGACGTCCAAAACAGGTCATCTTGGATCTTGTATTTTAATTCTTTATAATTTCACAAATAATTAAAAATTAATTAAATCACTCAAGAAAGCAAAAGCTTTTCTGCTGATAACATGAAACTATAATTCCCTTTTCTTGTCTGTGTTTTGGTTTCTTGTATGCAGTTCATGCAGAATGGCTCCTAACATTTGTCATTCTGGAAATGGTTTACCTAAAGCTTATCATTTTCCTGGCAAATGAAATACTCTATAAAGTACTAAGTTCTGTCTTTCTTTGCAGAACCTGCTGGTGAATCATGGATGAAGAGGAGTTACTTTGACCTGGGTGACCATTGCCATGGGCACAGCTTTGACTTGAATGGAAACTGTCAATTAAAATGATTGTATATCCATTTGTATAATAAGAAGGAGTGGATTGTTAAAAGCATGGAGCGTCTGACTTTCTTATGTCTGACTGTATGGTTCAGATTAATTTGAAGTTGCACTATATCCCTAGAGGTAAAATACGCCTCCATAATCTTAAATAAAATTTGAAGAAAAAAAATCACTTGCCTTTGTAATGTCATTAATAACACATTAGTGCCAAAGACCCTATAAACATATAGAAATTAATATCAATTTTATTGTAACACTGGGTTTTGCCTGACCCCTTAATTAAGTTCTGCATAAAAGTAAATATTTTTATTTGTATTTTTTGCTGTTATACAAACTTTATATGCGCTTTTTTTTTTCTTTATAATATATTGCATTAAATTTGCACATTTCCATTCTAGTCAGATAAATCATGGCCATTTGCTGTTCTTTGTCTGTTCAGGAGTAGGGAACTTTCCAGATTTTGTCAGCAAAAAAAGAAAAAACTAATATTGCTATTCAATCATCTCTGACATCATATTTCATAGTTTTGTTCTTAGAAACTCCTGAAAAGGCTTGGGGTTATAATGTATTGTCAAATTCTACTACCAATACCAGTTCTGAAATGAATTAAGATGTGAATGGACAGCATCTGACATGACTCAGAGCTTCTCAGGACATTGGGCCATTTGGCATGTTTGGTACACTTAAACTATGGAATATGAAGTCAAAAAACAGTATAACTAGCTAAAAAAAAACTTTTAAAAGTGGCTCATAGAACCTAGGGCATTGATTTTACAGTTTTCTATAACATTTTGCTATATGCATCTTTACTACACAGCTTGGCTCTAGAACAAAGTAGCATATTCTGTATATTCATTCTTGTTAAGATGCACTTAAAGTAGTTTCTTTTACTGCCAGTGATGCTTTTATGTACTCTTTTTACCTGTGAAATGGTGACTTCAAAAAAGAAACTGAATTCTAGCTCTTCACATTCATAGTAGAGTGATTTATGAATTTGCAGGTTCTTGCACATGCTGTTTCTTAAACCAATTTAAGATTACAGGACCTTTGCAAGAAAGGGAATTGTCAAATCCCAGTAAAACACCAGGACGATAGCATTTGTTGGACACAGAACCACAGCAATGTGTAAAATGTCTCTTGGGTCTGCTCTTCATTGACCTGTGTCCATGAGGTGGTGCTTTTCCTCATTTGGAGCTAGGCTTTACTGTCAAAGTCCTTTATTTCTGAATATTTTAATTTATTATTTATGAACCACTCAGATATACAAATTTGTACACTTTCAAATAGTTTTTTCCTTCCCAGAATATGTTAACTTCCTTTAACGGTGTGCTGATAGCTTATTTAATTTTTCGTAAAGGATATATTAATAGAATACATTCTCAGAAACTCTGCATGGCCATAATGTTGCCATAGTGACCTTTCCCATGAGCAGTGGTGGTGCTCAGCAGTAAGATCAACCTCTCATCTGGCTTTTGTAAAAGAGCGTGGTACAGTGGTGGGAAGCACTGCTCTCATTGCCCTAAGGTCCTGGATGCAGTTTGGGCCTTTGAAGCCTGGTAGAACTTGTAGGTTTCCTCCACATTCGCTTCAGATGTTGCTGGGTGCTTTGGTTTGCTTCCTCTGGTTAGGTGTGATTGTTCACTTGGTGCACCTCTCATGACTTGTTCACCAAAAGATTGGCTTTTACAATCCCTGGAGCCAGTTCTGATTATGGCCCTTCAGTGATCTAGGAGACATAAATAGCATTATTCCTTTTTTATTACTGTATGCTGGTGTATGGAAGCTTCAGTTTCTTCTCCAGCAGCTATAAAAGACTTCAGCTGGACAACATCCTTAAGGACACAACTCTTCAGGAAAGCAAGGAATTGTCCTGTTGGTCAACGCATTGAGTATGTAAGTTCAAAAACTGATTGGGAAGTGACCAGTAAATGTGTGATGTATGTTACCTAAATGCGGCATCAAACGACAATGTAATTTTTTTTAACAACCCCACTGTTTGCTAAATTAATTAAGTTATTCTTCACTTAAACAGTTATTGTGTTGACTAAGGTGAGTTCATTAGTCCGTTACTGTACAGTATCTCCACCCTTCTGTCAAATTACGTGGATCTGAGAGGATAAGAATGAAATAGAGAGCTCGGGTTCGCAGATAATGTGAAAAGTAACTGAGGAAAATGCTTGATTCACAAAAAACATGGAATTCTTAAACCTTGCAAAGCCATTCACCATTCTTTGCTTTTGAGAACAAAAGTGCACAAAGCGATCGCAACCATTTGCTCTTAAACTATAAAAGCTTTCCCTTTAAATTCTCCTAAATCTGTGAGTAAAAGGAACATCTTCAATCTGTAAGATACAGCGCTTCAATTGATTTCAGCTCTTTGAGTACACATTGAATTTATCTGTAGCTGTCTACATTAGCCCATTTCAGAGAAATGGGATCTTTGAGGAATCCGCAATTACCTTACCACCATACATCTCCCTATTAAACAGAAACTTAACTTCAATGTGGATATTGGCCCAATGCAACACTGTGGTATTTCACAGTTTCTAATAAGGCTTTCAATCAGCGTCTGACTGATAAACCTCACCTTAACAGCAACCTTGGCGTTCACCACATCTGAAGGATTCTTTTAAGTGCAGTTTGCACGTCAGGGAGATATAATTAATGTGTGCTTATTTCCTCGGGAGTCATCATTCTGAATCAGTGCACATCTTTTAAAAAAACACGTCACAGAAATTATAATGGGACCCCTACATTGTAAATTGCCTTGCCCCTTTATTTATTGCCCACAAGGATTTCAGCTGTCTGTCACTTTGATGGGCAGATCACAGCACTGCTATTAAATTGGCGGAGTAGTGTTGGTATTTGACTGATTTGTCTTATCTGAAACCCTGACATTAACCATTGTAGCATCCAGCAGAATGCACGCACAGACCATTAGTTTCTGGAGCCCAGTATGTTGAGTTTGATGACTGTGGTGCTGTGGAATGAGCCAGCACTGCATATGTATTAACTAGAGTCGTTCAAATGCGTTGTACTCTACTATAGATTTTATTTGTATAAATAAGCTTAGGAATTACCTTGCAAATGAATATTCTAGCTTGATAAATGTCATATTTTAGTCAAAGAATAATATAGTCAAAATAAAACCGGTCTTCTGTTTAAAGAAAACACAGTAGCTGACATTACGAAGCCCTCTGCACATGAAATGGAAAATGATTTGGAAAAGGGGGCTTACCAGGTTGGGCCTGATTGTCCAGAGAATCTTGACTATGTTATGAGCCTACTGCGACTGATCTATTGCTTCAGTGAAGAAAAAGGGATCCACATGAGATGTGAAAGTAATCTAGAAATTTTAGCCATTAGCTGTAATGCTGGGATGGTGATAAACAGGGGAAGTGGTGTTTAGGAAATTCCAGTAATATTCTTAGACAAACATTTACACCACCCATCTCTTCAATTGCAATTTGATTCATCTGACACTGATATTCAGAAAATTAAATGAAGCTCGGCAATACAAATATACAGAAATGAATATATGTTAGAAATTTCATTAATACTGGATATTACTATGAGGGACTGTTTTCTTAAATTTATCAATGTCAGGACATTAAAAAAAACACCTTTCACAGCTTTGGAAATATTTTATCATTCTTCTATTTCATGCTTAAATTTTAAAAAGAGTATTTTACAGCAATAGTTTAAAAGTTTGGACTTTTTTGGAGTATGAGATTTATTTAAACACTTTGCAGCTAGAACACAGAAAGATATTAATAGCTCTATTCACTGGCTGAAAGTGGTGTGGTGGACAGGCAGAATCAAGACAATAGTCGTATTCCGAATGGGCAGTAGGTGAAACTGGACACCATGAAGAAATGACAGACTGAAGCATGAGTGATTTCAAAGGTTAAAATAAGATGCAGTCTATCAGAAGGCAATAAAAATTGGCAGCCTCATAACACACCACATAAATATTAACTTAGACTTCTATTCATTTGAAAAGCTACCTGTAAAACGGGAATTATTTTGAATTTGCACTGCAAGAGGTTTGACCTCTGGGTTTCATAATGCCCATCAACTCCTGACTTTATCTTACAGCCAACTGTTTCACCAGAGGGAAGGCACTCAAGTGTGGCTTATCAACGAAGCCATCTTCAGAAGCTCTGTCGTGCGGCTCATATTAAGATGGAAGCAAAAGGGGGGTGTTGAGGATTAGGCGGTAATATTCAAAACAGCTTTGAAGCCCTTTACAAACCAAAGGAAAAAGTAAAGCAGACAAGGAAAAAAAAACTTCTTTCTGTCCTGCTTTACAGCCATTTTAATTTTAACAACACCTACGTAGGAGCTCCTGACATTTTAAAGATAACCCTTTCGCAAATACAGCTGTCATTTCTCTCCCATTCGCAGTTATTAAAAGTGCTCCGCATATCCTGCAGGATTGCAATTTGATAACCATTGGGAGGTTTGATGAATATTAGATACATCCATAGGTCTGTAAGCACCTCTGATATATACCATGCTGACATTTATTTTTGAAATATCAAGTCGTATAAGAGGTCTGCATAATTACTTTACCCTCTGCGTCTATAAATAAAATAGTTATAAAACACATTAAAATTATGTTTATTGTAGTATTGTGTAATATATTATACTCTTTACTAATCTTTTACCCTTGTTGCAGCTGTAGTCCATAGTGTCTCATGTGTTTTTATTTTTTCCCCTCTCTAAGTATTATTTCATTAGATTTCTTCTGGTCTACACAGCTTTTTACAGTTACCTATGAACTTTTAATATGCCGTTAAATATAATTTAAATCCGCTAAACGTATAGTGTAATAATATTTTTGTTTCATTCTGTTTTGAGTAGAATTCCCTCAGCTTTATTTGAACATGTGGGGTTGTTTCTTGGAACTGATGCACAATCACAGTTGTTATTGTTAAATGAGGTTTTAACAATGTTTGTTTATTTGGTACTTTTCGTATACCGTACAGGTCTAAGAAATGTTTAGGGGCGGACATGGCTCGCTCTTCCCACGAGTATTGTAAAAGTCATTGGTATGTACAGTATAAAAAATAGGAGCAATTTATACCCATCAGAATGTGAGCACTATTCTAATCTCACAGCCTGGACCAAAGCTTTGCATCTTCCCAGTGGTTAAATCATCTTGACATC